AGAGCAGGAATGGGGAAGCTGGGGCCCAGTTGTTGCTGGAGAGGAGCTCCCATCACGCCTGACCATTGCCCATGCTGGCTGGGACTGATGGGAGCTGGAAGGGTACTATTCCTTCATCTTCTTTGTGTATTATCTTATTCCCTGCACTTGTAATTATGTATGTACTTTTTATTTTTCAATAAAGAACATTTAAAAGTTCCATTGATGTCCATGGAATTTGATTGTGATTAACTTTTCCTGCAGAAATTACATAAATTTACATAGGAAATTATAGGTAGCCTGTTATTTTGAATTTTTTCAAATTGTGTTCAACAGAACTCACTCCCCGCTAGTAAATTTGTGCCTCAATCTAAAAAAAAGCACAACTCTGCTCCTGCCATTTTCACTGGGAGAGAACCAGCTGCTGGCCCAAAAGTTCCCAGTGCATATTATGGAAATGGGGCAGTGTGGTAAGCTGTTCCAATCATAGTATGGGTGGAAACAAGGGTTAAAATACCTCCCACATCTCAATCCCAATTCCTCACAGCTACAATTTAACTTTAAAAAATGGAAGAAATGTAATTATGCAATGCCAGACTCCTTTTAATTTAACATAAAGACAACTAGATTCCCAAGTGTCATTGGAGAAGTGAAGGGTAGAAACTTTGCTGGTTCATTTAAGATTACATGACGTCAGACTGCCCCCCCCAGGCCATTTGACTGCCAAATCAACCTGCTTCCAGGGGCCCGGTTACCGGCGGATAAGCTGTATGCCATGTCCGACCGGGAGATGCAGGAGTTGAGGCGGTTTATTGACAAGAACCTGAAGAGAGGTTTCATAAGGGAATCGAAGGCGGTGGGGGGCAGTCCAGTGTTCTTTGTGGACAAAAAAGAGACTAATCAGCCCAGATTAGTCGTGGATTACAGGGCCCTAAACCTGGTGTCAGAACCCGTGACTTTCCCAATGCCCAGGATTGACGATATTTGAGATGTGTGAGGCAGGGGAAGATTTTTACCAAGCTGGACCTCAGGGGGCATACAATCTAATTAGGATAAGGGAGGGGGACGAATGGAAAATGACCATGTTCACCCACCTGGGGGCTTTTGAGTATTTAGTTATGCCATTTGAATTACAATCGGGGTCCGCCTGCTTTCATGCCTTCATGCACCATGTGTTGGGGTCCCTGCTGTGCAAGAATTGCGTAGCCTTTTTGGATGACGTCTTAATCTATTCAGAGAATGAAACGCAACACGTCAGAGACGTCAGGGAGGTGCTACAGAGATTGAAGAAGCATCAGTTGTGGGTTAAGCTGGAAAAATGCCAATTCCACGCCAGGAAGGTCGAGTTCCTGGGGTACAGGTTGTCAGACAAAGGACTGGCCATGGATCCAGGCAAGGTGAAGGCAGTGCTGGAAGGGAAGGCCCACCAAAACAGAAAGGATGTGCAGAGGTTCCTAGGCTTCAGCAACTTCTACAGGAAGTTCATAAAGAACTTCGCTCACTTGATAGCGCCCATAACGGATTGTCTTAGTAGCAAAAAGAAGTTCGCATGGACAGAGGATGCCCAGCAATCCTTTGAAAACCTGAAGAAGGCGTTCGCCTCAGAAGAGCAGCTCTTGCACGTGGATCCGGAGAAACCCATAAGACTGGAGACGGACGCGTCCGACCGCGCGATTGGAGCGGTACTTTTGCAATCCGGGTCCAAGGAGAACTGGAGACCGTGTGCCTTTTTCTCTAGGAAGCTGAGCAAGTTGGAGCAAAACTACACGGTGTATGACCGAGAACTGCTTGCTATCTATGCGGCATTTCGGCAATGGAGACATCTTTTGATAGGGGCGCGGCACAAGATCCAGGTCACCACAAAAACTTGGAATACTGGCGGACCGCGCAAGTGCTCAACCAGAGACAGATCAGATGGTCCCAGGAGTTCGCCAAGTTTTTCTTCGAGATACAATACGTGCCAGGAGGGGAAAACGTGAGGGCAGATGCACTCTCCAGGAAACCAGAGTACATGGAAGGGGAGGGGCCACCGGAGACGAGGCACGTGTTTCCCGAGGACCGGTGGGTGTGTGGGGGAGCGTTGGTAGGGAAACGAGAACTAGCAGGGCTCACCAGAGACGATGAGTTTGCTCAGACGAAAATCAGGGAGCTCAGGGACGGAAAGGAAGGCAATGGGGGGTTTGAGGAAAAGGAAGGGCTACTGTACTACAAGGGGGCGCTGTATGTACCAGGAGAGACTTTGAGGGGGAAGGTACTTAGACAGCTCCATGACAACCCAACAGCTCGGCACTTTGGACAGCACAAGACCATGCTACTTGTCACCAGGCAGTTCTGGTGGCCAAAGGTGAGGGAAGACGTACGAGAATATGTACAAGGGTGCGACCAATGCCAGAGGGCAAAGGGGGAAAGAACTGCCCCAGCAGGGCTACTGGAACCCTTACCTACACCGGAAAGGCCCTGGGAGGTGGTGTCCATTGATTTTATGACAGATCTGCCCAAGTCAAGGGGAAAGACAGCAGTCATAGTAGTGGTCGATCTACTGACTAAAATGTGCCATTTCATAGCTTGCTCGCATGCAGTGTCGGCAGAGGAGACAGCCAGACTGTTTGAGGACCACATTTTTAGACTGCATGGGGCCCCATTGAGGGTAATCTCGGATCACAGGAAACAATTTACCTCCCGGTTCTGGCGGAGACTCATGAGCTTGCTGCAGGTCGAGGTGAGCTTCTCGACAGCGAGGCACCCAGAAACCAACAGACAGCCCGAAAGAGCGAACGGTATACTCCAGCAGTACCTACGCTGCTATGTCAGCGAGAGGCAGAACGATTGGGTAGAGAAATTAGCTTTGACTGAATTTGCGTACAATAACGCTGAACACGTGTCCATGCGAATGAGCCCTTTCATGGCCAATTACGGGTGTCACCCCAGGGCCTTCCCGGGGCGGGGGGAGGAAGGATGGAGTGTACCTGCGGCTGAGCAATTTGCGGAGGAAATGGAGGCCTTAACCAGCAACTCAGGCTGAACTCGGAGCGGGCCAAGGAAGTTTACAAGAGGCAGGCAGACAGGCAGCGTCGGGAGGGGAAGGCCATACGGGTGGGAGACCGGGTGTGGTTGTCATCCCAAGGGTTGCCCCTAAAGGGAGGGTGCAAGTTGCAGCCTAGGTGGCTGGGGCCTTTTGAGGTAATACAGCAGGTTAACCCAGTGGCATTCAAACTCAAGTTGCCTGACAGCATGAAGATACATCCGGTGTTCCATAGGTCCCTACTTTCATAATACAGGGAGGGGCGGGAATTCCCGGGAAGGGAGGGAGGGGTTACCACGCACCCGCGGGTAGAGGAGAGGGAACACTATAACGAAGCTACGGAAATACTCGATTTGAGGTGGCGAGGTCGCCAGGTAGAGTACTTGGTAGCCTGGGAGGGAGAACCAAGGTCTGAAAACACTTGGGTCCCTGCTGAATCAATCACTGACGGGTATCTAGTGGAAGAGTTTCATGGTTTGTTCCCGGGTAAGCCCAAACCATTAGCTAGATTCTGGGAGGAAGAATTTGGACCCACAGACGACGAAGGGGACTTTGTGGGTTTTCCTGCCTCCGAAGAGGAGGGAGGGGAGGTGTCCGAGGGAGAAGAATCAGACTGGGAGGTTCAACCAGCTGGAAGAGGTCCGAGCGGATGGGAGGCTGGTTTTGAATCCTCAGAAGATGATGACAGTTCTTTCAGGGGATTCCCCGCATCGCCGGTCGAGGAGAGAGAGGAGGATGTATCGGAAGATCGCGCCAGGGGTGGGGTGGGGGTCCTGAGGAGGAAGTGGATGTCAGGGAACTGCCATCAGTGCCGGAGGGAGAGAGCAAAAGCCAGAGGGATTCCAGAGAGCGTCCAGGGATCGGGAGAAGCAGCCCATCTTCTGGGGAAGAGAATCAGCGTAGTACCAGTGGAGAAGGGGGGCAGATGGGGGAAGCGGCGAGGCGGTCCCATGACTCCTTGCCTGGGACCAGCAGGGAGAATAGGGGTCCTCCGTTGCCCACGCCCTCCTTGCGCAGAAGGTTTTCGCGCAGAGAGAGTAGGAGGAGACTAGGCATCAAAGAGCTTCTTTGCTGGAAGAAGTTTAAGAAACGCCCACTGACGGATTCTGCCAGCGATTGAGTCAGCCACGGGTGAGTGGCTGTCCGGACAAAGAAGGTTCACTTTGGCAACCCACCCAGGTGTTTGCACCCAGCCGGGGATATAGACACCTGCTTACGCACGAGCAACCCCTAGAACCATTACATTCACCATGAATGGTCTCTCTCCCTCTCCCCTCCATTCTGCTCTTAGTTGGCACATCTTAGATTATGTTGGAGGCAAAGACGAGCTGGCACACTTCCTTGCCCAAGTCCTATTTTTTATCAGAAGCACATATTTCATTTTCCCTTTCTCCTAGCTGCAAGGTGATTCTTCTACCTAGCATCTCTGAAACTCAGAGCGGAACAAGTCCAAAAGTTAAAAGTGCTTTCGCTTTGTCATTTTCAACAAGAATACCCTGCTAAAATGGCTTTAGAAATATTTAATCAGAATTTAATGGTATGTAGGGTTGGTACACCTGTGTACAGTGGTACCTCGGGTTACAGATGCTTCAGGTTACAGACTCTGCTAACCCGGAAGGAGTACCTCGGGGTTAAGAACTTTACCTCAGGATGAGAACAGAAATTGCGCAGAGGTGCCATTAGCTAAAGTGGTACGTCAGGTTAAGAACAGTTTCAGGTTAAGAACGGACCTCCAGAACGAATTAAGTTCTTAACCCAAGTTACCACTGTATTTAAAATATCTGCTGATACGGCTCCCCTTAAAAGAAACTGACAAGAGTAACATAGGCAGGACAGTAGGAAGCCACCTTATAATGAGTCACACCATTGGTCCATCTAGTTCAGTATTATCTACACTGATTGGCAGCAGCTGCCCAGGGTTTCAGGCGGGGAATTTTCCCCAGCCCTAATCGGGAGGTGCCAGAGATTGGACCTGGGCTGAGCTACAGCCCTTCCCTCAAGCCTACAGCACCTGGAATTCTCAAGTGATTCCCCATCTCACTACCAGCCATGGCCAACTCTTCTTAGATTCTGGGATCAGACAGGCACGTTCAAGGCAATATGGCTGCAGAAAATGCTCCCCATGTCTTCTTAGGAGTTGAGTGCAGAGTGAGAGTCCCTGGACTTCATGGACTGGCTTACCACTTCAACATGACTATATGTAGAAAGGAAGGGACACACTCAATTTGCATTGGGCTATGATTGAGATAAGGTCCATAGAGTTAAAGCTATGGTTTTTCCCAGTAGTGATGTATGGAAGTGAGAGCTGGACCATAAAGAAGGCTGATCGCTGAAGAATTGATGCTTTTGAATTATGGTGCTGGAGGAGACTCTTGAGAGTCCCATGGACTGCAAGAAGATCCAAACTACCCATTCTTAAGGAAATCAGCCCTGAGTGCTCACTGGAAGGACGGATCCTGAAGCTGAGGCTCCAATACTGTGGCCACCTCATGAGAAAAGAAGACTCCCTGGAAAAGACCCTGATGCTGGGAAAGATGGAGGGCACAAGGAGAAGCGGACGACAGAGGACGAGATGGTTGGACAGTGTTCTTGAAGCTACCAGCATGAGTTTGACTAAACCGCGGGAGGCAGTGGAAGACAGAAGTGCCTGGTGTGCTCTGGTCCATGGGGTCACGAAGAGTCGGGAACGACTAAACCACAATAACAACAAGAGTCGGTGTAGTCAGAATTGAAATGACCGTTCTCGGAACAACTAAAATGAGAAAGTATTTGGGAAGCAAGAAATTAGCAGAACCCAAGATCTTTCATGCCCAGCACAACAGCAAGTCTTTACCTGACCACAGCTTTGTAAGTCGCAGCTTTTCTTCAAGTTATATTTCCAAAACAGTTCAGCTGGAAAGTCTTGGCTGCAATTCTGCATTAAATAGACCTCTTAGCCTTGGAGGGGGATTAATGAACCAGACAAGGTGAATTACCTTTAAAAGCCAGATTGGACTGCTTAAAAGCATATTTCTAAATTGCCCATCCTCCAAAAGAGCATAGGGTGATATACAACAAACATACAAACACCGTTACACAAACAGGACAGCTTGTTCCGAATGGGCACACATGTTACATGGCTTAAGAGTAGTGGAAGAATAAAATCTAGAAGCGATGAAATAAAAATGGTTCCATGATTGCCAGCATGGCCACCTACAGTAGCAAAAAGGCAGGCTGTAACATTAACTACAAATATCACCAAAGCAAACCTAAAACACGGTGACAGGTTTCGTGCTATTCGCTGTGCTGGAATGGCCAGGATGGCAACAGAAATGTGTTATACTGAAACATCTGGGCAGACACAGCATGAATTACTGCTTCTGTAAATCAATGCCCATGCCTTTTCAATCTCCCAGCAAGCCAAGGGCATTAGGGGAGACTTTCCCACAAAATCTGCTACCGGATCCCAGGACACATAAAAATTTGAAGTAAATGACCCAGAGGAGGAGAAACCTTGTTTGTTGCTTCAGAGTGCCACCTCTTTATTTACTTGTCTTACTTCTTGGGCTGCTGTTCTTTAAGTGAAACTGTGTTTATTTACTTTGGGTCTGATTGATTAGGATGACCCTGTGGGCCAGTGAGAAACATGTATAGTGGTAAAAGGTAAAGGGACCCCTGACCGTTAGGTCCAGTCGCAGACAACCAAGGGAGCCAGCCTACAGTTTCCGGGTTATGTGGCCAGCATGACTAAGCCGCTTCTGGCGAACCAGAGCAGCGCACAGAAATGCTGTTTGCCTTCCCACCGGAGTGGTACCTATTTATCTACTTGCACTTTGACGTGCTTTTGAACTGCTAGGTTGGCAGGAGCAGGAACTGAGCAATGGGAGCTCACCCTGTTGTGGGGATTCGAACCGCCAACCTTCTGATTGGGAAGCCCTAGGCTATGTGGTTTAGACCACAGCACCACCCGCATCCCTCTATATAGTGGTAGCCATGCCCAACTGCCCACAGGATAATAACCTGTTTGTGGGGAAGGGTTTGATCACCATAGTTGAGAGGGTAGGGAGAGGGTGTCTGTATTGCCCCAGTTGAGGGGATGGTGAGAAAACGAATGCTTCTTGACTTTTCTACTATTTGATTGCTTTTACTTCTTGGACCTGTCTTCTGTATTGGTTAGATTTTTGTTATTTCAACACTGGAATGTTTATTGAAGCGAGAAGTAGATCGATGGAGAGACATGTGGTATACTTTTTATATATTTATAAATTTGTAACTATATATATATTGCCTTGAGTGTTTATGTATCTTGATGTTTTGTATATGGTTTATTTTGGATTCTTCTTTTAATTAAAGTTTGCATTGAGGGACATTTATTTATGTTACTTAAAATTTGGAATTGTGATGCTGATGATAATTAAGTCGTATTGCTGTTTTGAATGTGGAATTTGTATTCTACATCTTTTTTGGGATTTGTAAACTGTTAAGGGATTTCTGTTGCAATATGAGGTGGACTACAAATTAGATAAACAAATAAATAAAATGCAAGAGTACTTTATTTATATTAAATTATCTGCTGGAGATGATGCAATATATTTTGTTCCAAGCTCAGATTAATTTGCAGTCCATTTTCAACAGAAATGACCTGGAAGCATCCAAAGAACTTCACTTAATAGAGAAGTTTTGTCACATCTGTTACTGTAAAACTAGCGAGGCAGGATCTCAAACATCTGCACCAAAGAAGCGCAGAATATCTCTATAAATTATGCAAATAGCGTAAATGTGCTTATTTTTCTACAGCCCATTCTGCTTTGGTGCATAGCAACGAAAGCCTTGCCTGCTTGGATATTTATTTCACTGTCCCCTCATCCAGCTTCGGAGTTGCCTGCTCCACTTTATCTTTGCGGTCAAAACATTAAAAACACTTCAGTTTTGTAAATGAAAGACAGAGGTTCTCAGAATTATGCCTTTTTTCCTGCATGTGCACAGAATCTACACGTCCCTCGCCATTAGGGTTCCCCGCGCACCGGTATAACCAGCCACAACCGGCGTTTTATTTTTTTGTAAACACAGACGTGGCGGCTGGATTGCTAGGGAAAACTAAAAAAAGAGAATTTAGACCGGGCACGCGAAGTCAATCGGCCGGCGGGATTTTAAAAGCCTGCTAAGATGCGCCTGTCGCGAAACCCGAGTAAGGCAAGCCAGCAATGGCACGGCAGAGAAGCGACCGTTGCGCCACGGATGGAGCCTTTTTTCCCACCAGCGGAGGAAACAGCGCGCCCGGAGAACCCGATGCTTCCCCTCCGAGGGAGCTGCGGCGTGGAGGAACTTTCCTCTTCCCCTCGCGCGCTCGACTCCTTTCGCCCTGCGCGCCTCTGCGAGTGCGTAAAAACCATGGCGAGGCGGCTGCTCCAGGGCGCCAGACGTACCCAAGCGCCGCAGCCGGAGCATTTCCCTCGCTCAGCCCCTTTCTAAACGCGGGTCGGAGTGCCACGCCGAGCTCGCTGGCGTCGCGGAAAAGCAGGCAGGAAAGCAGGCGCGGCGGCGGCGCCTCCACCGCCCTTCGCCAAGCCGTGCGCCCTGGCACCAAGGCGCGCGCCACGGCGGCTCCAAAGGGCGCAAGCGAGCCAAGCGCAGCCGGAGCCTCCTGGGAGAGAGAAGGGGAAAAAAGGCAAGGAGCCCTTTCTTGCCCCGGCGGGCCTCGAGGTGCCTTCCTTTGATTGGCTGAGGCGCATGTTGGAGAAGAGGCGCGCGCAGGGGACCCCTCCGCCGCGCGCCCAACTTTGCCCCCGCCGCCAACTTTTGTCGCCGTCGGGCGGGAACCCCGCGGAGCACAACAGCCACCTGCGCGCTCGGGGCCCTTGTGGGAGGAGAGCGCGAGCGGGAGAGAGGAGCGAGGAGGCTGGGAAGGGGGCGGAGAGGAGGGAAAAAGCCGGGTGCGGCGCATGCGCCGTGCGCTGCCCCGGGCCTGCCGCGGCCGCAGTCACTTCCTGCCCTTGCGCCCATCCGGCTCCGGGGTCGCGTCGCGGGGCCGCTTGGGCGGGACAGGCGACGGCGAGTTCGCGTCGGGGCGCGGCGACAACAGCGCGCTGCCCTTCCCCGCCGGGCCCCGCATCGTCGGCGGTGGCAGGGTCCCCCGCGCCCGCCTCAGCGGAGCCTCCTCTCCGGGCGCCCTGCTCGCTGTCACCTGCTGCCTGCGCCTCCTCGGAGCAACCCAGGGGCTCCTTCTTCCTTCCTCCCTCTCCGCCTCCCGCGCGCGTCCCGCCGGCCGGTGGCGGGCAGGCGAAGAGGGGCTTCGCTCACGCCCAGCTGCTGCCCGCCCGGCAGGCACCCCACGCGCCTCGCTCGGGCCGGGCTGGCGTCTCTCGCAGGAGCCTTTCCCGTAAGTGTGGTCGCCGCTGAAACTCGCCTCTTCGCCTTCCCTCCGTCACGGGCACCCTCGCCCGCCGCGGAAAACACGGAGGAGATGCGTGTTGGTTGGTTGGTTTGGCTGGCGTGTGTGGGTATACGCGCGCGTGCCCGCCCCCTCCCCTCGCGCGCCGATGCTGGGTTGTGTGAGGCGGGCGACCCGTGTGACAGGTGGCCCCGGAAGAGCGCGCGAGGAGTTGGTAACCTGGGAGGAGGTGGTGTGTTCGGGGGAGAGGGAACTTGTGTGGAGGGGGGTGAGTGACAGAGAGGGAGAGGGGTGTGTGGGTGTGTTTGGGAATGTGGGTTCTGTATTGGAATGCTTGTTCTTGTTGTTGTTTTGTTCCTGCATCGCTGATGGAAAGGCTAGTGATGGGGTGGAAGTGGGTGGGTGGGTGGGTGCGTGGCTAGGTCGTAATGGTTGGCATGGTCTGGGTTGGCATTCCTGTATGTGTCATGGATCAGCCCAGCACCAGATTTAGGGCAGTGTCAGGCGGTTCCACAGCACAGGGCGCTGAGCCGAAGGATGATGATGATGATGATATCTTATACTTATGTGGGTACCTACTGAGAAGATCGGTTAAAAAGCAACCGTGCCAAATTGAGTTATTGTCAATTTTTTAAAATACAGTTATTGAAAATTCAAAAAGTACATGATTATATGTACACTAAACGTTTGAGACGTAAGTAAATGAGAGAAAAGGAAAAAGAGAAACAGAACCTGTGTAGAAGCGAAAATAAAGGGAGGAGGGGGAAATGGGGTATTCTTACAAATACTGTAATAGGTTAGGAACTGGTGAAGTACAATAACAACCTTTTAAAGTATACAGTTTGAGGTTTTTCCCCCTAACCCCTTTATGAATTATTGTCAAATTAACATTTGGGGTATGTGTGCCAAATTTCATCCTCACTCACAGTGCAATATTACCCAGGGACAAAACTAGGCGTTACTTCACAAGGGTCAAAGACCCAGTTTGGCACCGCCCCTACGCACATTTGTGGGCTCTGGTGTTCGAAACTCCCACTGTTCCAGGCGCATTTTGTGACAGGAAATTTCACTAGCACGAGCAGTTTTTGATCTCTGGGCGCAGTACTGCACCTAAGATTTCAGATTAAAATGTGGAGTGGAAGGAAAGGAGGACCTTTTTCTGCTTCCCCACTTCCAGCTACTCTCTGACGACTGGAGAAGAAATCCTCTTAAGAATATTAGTGGGGTAGGCAGGGAAACGACTAGACCATGTGAAAAATGAACATAATATTTTAGCTGCTGTTCATTCATTTTCAGCTTTGTATTGTTCTTAGGTTTAAGTTTAGCTCCTAGCTTTCACATCTCAGTTTCTAACACTGCCGTGTAAACACACACACACACACACACACACAAAGAGAGAGGGGGGGGGGCTGGGAGCCTCAGTGGTACCCCTCTAGGCTTCACCCAGGGCAAAAAACCTGGCAAGCTCTTGCATAGCTATGGCACTGTATTACCAAAGTCCGCCCCTGGATAGTCATGACTTTTCACAAGGGGACACTGAGGATTTGGCCAAGGATAGTGGGCCAGTGCGTTGCCCCCTCTTCCCCATCTGCCAGCCTGCAACATCTGTTGCCATATGGCCAACAGGTTGATCCTACATATCCTCCAGCAACAGGACATTTACCAGGTGCAGCAATGCTGATTTCTGTGGCGTTGATCTCCTTTGCATCATCACATGTTTGAAGCTATGTGCACAGGACACATCTTATTTTGGTTTATATTTGACAACTGGAGGGCAAGGGAGTGCCTAGCTCAGGACTAGGTTTGGATCAAGTTCTTGATCCCTCATTTATGGTGAATGTGAGATTGGTGAGGGCGGTGGAACTGCATGGTTTGACTTGTCAGGTAAGAAGGGACTGGTTTCGACTCCTCAGTTGCAGTAGACCGTATGTGGTCATTTGTCTGTCTTTACACAGTGGGATTGATTCCTGACAATAAAAATTGGTTTATTATTTACTTATGGCATTTATATACTGCTTAATTGTTTCCATTTATAAGCAGTGTACATAAAAACAGTCCACAGAAAGTGAGACAACAAAATGAGTTCTGTAGATAGTTCTAAAATTGTCTGGCTTAAGTTGTCAAGGGAGAGTTTTTCTGCATATATGGAGAGGGAGGGAGAGAAGAGGTGTCAAGTTTGGTGTGTAAGAGGTAGGATGACTTTTTTGATGGCGATATCTGTGCAGATAAATGTGCATTTTCAAATACAGTTGTGGTTGCCAACAATTAAACACATTTTCCAGCCCTATTGCTAGATACATGGGGGAGCAACAGGTGCTGGTGAAATGTGAGCCGTCTGGTGCCTAGCTGATATATTTAAGTTTCTAACATGGGTCCACATGGACTGCATACAGATAGAGATAGCCTTCGTCAAGGACACAAAGCTTGATCATTTATTTAGATGCTGGTGCTGCAATCCTACACATTCTTTTTTGGGAAGTGAGTCCCATTGTGGGTGAAAGAGACTTACCATTGAGTAAACATGCTTGGATTGAGTTGTGTGTAGATCTTGTCATGATTCATCTTCTTTGGCGATCACTCGTAGCCGAGTAAGATTGTCTTCCATGAATATGGTTTTAACACTGTGTCCATAGGTGACTGTGGAGGCCAATTCTGGATCCACACATCCTTCCACAGTGGGGACATAGGTTTCCAGGCAGGAGTTGATGACGATGAGGATTTGCCAAGCGTGCCTTCCTCTTAGTACATTTCTCCCTTTCATTTTGAGTTCGAGTGTCTTCAAACTCCATGACGCCTTTAGCAGAGGCCAGTTGGAGCACTCGCAGGCCAGTGTTTTCCAGCTGTCGGTGTTTATACTACATTTTTTAAAGATTTGCCTTGAGAGCATCTTTGAACCTCTTCTGTTGTCCATCGACATTACGCTTTCCATTCTTATGTTGGGAATAGAGTAAGAGCTGGTATAACTGGACAACATAGTACCAGTACTTTTCCTTTGAATGGAAAGTAAATGTGTTAAGGCATGGCCTGCAATGGTTACTCCTGAAGGAGCTCTTGTGGTTCACGATTATTAAACAAATTTATAGACCACTTCAAAACATAAAGCCATCAATGTGGTGTGTGTACACGTAGAAACATAATTAAATGTTATGCTGTTACGAAGGAGCAAGCATCATATACTTTATCTGCAAACAGTTGGACCATTTTAGGGAATGACATTTTGTAGTGCTCTTAACTCCTTCAACTGCAGCATGAGGGAACCTACCCAAAGTTCTGCAGTTCTATGTATGTAGCCTCAAATATGTGTGAGGCAGCAAAGGAGATCAGTGGCTTACAAGTTAGCAGTGATGTGACTGGGTGCATGCAATTTGAAATCTGTATTGGAGGATATTTAGGAACAAGTTGCATAAAAATACTGGATTGGTAAATTCACTCCATAAGCTTGTAGATATGCTTTACTCTAAAGTAGTGTATTTCTGATTCCCCATCCTCCAGTTTTGATTGGATGCTGGTGGAGTGCTGAAAACCGCAAACAGCCCTTTTTTTGAGTAGGCCATCATCTGTCCTGAATTATTTCATTCCGATAAATAAATTCCTTTGTGAATGTCAGTTTGCATTACAAAATGTTTGCAAATAGGGCTGAGTGAAAATGTTATTTTGGTTACTCCGATGTGCATTTTATAGGTTTCTAATGCTCGGCTGAAAGAATTCAGGAGACTTATTCTCCCTTTTGGATTAAAATCCAAGTCAAGACAATAATTGCTGTTTCAGCGCCCTTTACCAGCTGGAAAGTAGCAAATAGCCAGGGGGAAAGAGAAGAAAAGAGATTCCCGAAAAGAGTTCCAGCAATGCTTTTCAGGAAAACTACATTTCCCAGAGACTGCTGCACTGGAGAAACTTTCCCCCTTTACACATCCCGTAGCTATTTGCTGTTCTTGGAGCAGTATAACTGGCTAACCAGCCAGGTAACTACTGTATTTTCCGCTCCATAAGACGCACCTGACCATAAGAAGCACCTAGTTTTTAGAGGAGGAAAACAAGAAAAAAAAAATTCTGAACGAAACAGTGAATGTATGATTTTTGTGGTTCGTGCTGTGGCCACAGACATGTGATTTGACAGTGAGTTTGGAGTAGCCCAATGCAAAAATCCTGAGGATCCATGTGGACCTGTGCTTTGTAACCACGTTTTTGTGTCATTGCGGCCCCAGGCAACAGTGGGTGCGTGATTTTTTGGGTGCAGGCTGTAGCTATGGACATGCTATGTGATCTGATGGTGAATTTGGGGTGACCCAATGCAAAAATCCTGAGGATCCGTGGGCTTTTACCTCCCCCTCCCAGGCAGCCTCCTTTATTGCTAGCGTCCCTTATCTCCCTCCCTGATCGCTTCCTGATCAGCTGCTTCCTTTCAACACCCCCTTCCCTCTTGTTTGCCTTAGTGTCTTTTCCTTAGCTGGAGCAGTTTTTTGCTCCTCCCTTTCTTCTAATTTCTCTCTTCATTGCTTTAGTCTTCCTGTCTCCTCTCCTTGCAAGTTTGCTGTCTTTACCTCCCCCCTCCCAGGCAGCCTCCTATACTGCTAGCGTCCCTTATCTCGCTCCCGATCGCTCGCCAATCAGCGGCTTTGTTTCAACACCCACTTCCTTTTTTTAAAAAAAAAAGAAAAAAAGCATGATCTGCATTTTGCCCTTGGGCAATTCGGCTCCAGGGACCACACATTCGCTCCATAAGACGCACAGACGCCTGTGCGTCTTATAGTAGAAGTAGAAATACAACTGGATGTGAGCTGGCGGAAAACCAGTAAGTCGAAGGCTGCTTCCAAGGCTGCCGGAGACTGCAATTATCTGCTCATTAAAGCTGATTTACGATGCGGACTTTACAGTTATTAGCAATGTGAACTCCTAGCATGGGCTCCAACACCCTGATACAATCTTCAGCAAAAACTTGAAAGGCTGGGAGCCACAGCGCAAATTTTAGGGAGGATTCGAAATGAACTCCGGCAAATGCGTCTTACCTCGTCGCCATCTTGTTTTCTTCCTCGCCTTACTTTCTAGGAAGAAAAAGGTGCGTCTTATGGAGCGAAAAATATGGTACATATATGCCCTGCTTCATCACAGGGTGGTTCAAACATAACGGGGGGTTAGAGAGAAGGAATAAGTAGGGTTGGGGATTGAGGTGGGACAAAAGGTATTTGAGGGTTTACAGAGCTTAGATCAGCTAATTTGAATTAGCGCTGAAAAGGAGTGAAGAACTTTCCTGATTTGGGAGGGAAGGACTTGCCTCGTTTCCAAGCCCGTGTGATGCAACTTAAGCTGCCTCTAATTGCAGTAGCTATTTCTAAAACAAAATTTATCCATGTATCCATGTCGTAACAATGGCTGAGTTGAGAAGATTTCGTTTTTTCATATGTGGAATTGCTCTTTGTATATATGTTCAATATTCACCGCTCATTCTTAGATCAGTGATTTTTACAGGGAAGTCATGTAACACTGCAGAACCTTATTTTCCTTGGTAAATGATAGAAAATTTGCTTATTTTAGCAGAAACGAGCTACTAGATGTAGAAGGAAAGTAGGGCGTTGATGTAGAAAATGCCTCTAAGGGACAAGTGTTGTCAGACTGACCACCATCACCATGGCTGCTGTGAACCAGGTAATAGTGCTTTAGTAATCTACCTTTCTTAAAAAAGAAATAATTAAATGCAGTAAGACACTGTCGGGAAAAGATAGCCTATATTATGCTGCCGTAATGCAATTAGGACATCTTCAAATATTGTTATATTGCCAGTATTATAAAAATGGTTGGGTTTTGATGAAGTACTTCTTAAATCTTCCTCCTTGTAGACTGGGTTGAGGGAGAAGGTATGGAATAAACATTTCAGGAAACTATGTTTCCAAGGCCTGCAAAACAAAATTTATTCAGCATACAAATAGCTTGATATAAATATATACAAATATTCTGAAGTTGGCACGTTGCTGTAATAACCACATGAGCTTAAAAAAATGGCTTGTAACCTAAAAACACTTGAAACGAGAAAATGAAGAGAGATATACACATTACTACGTGCTTCAACTTAAGATAGGATACCTACTAACCCACTTACCAGAGCTTGAGTAGGCATGTATAAAAACATTTTAATTGACTAAATATGCACAGCCACATAAATAGAGGTCTGCTTCTATGTATATTTAAGAAATACTTCTAACAAGTGCAGATGGCAAGTACCATCTTAAAATGGAGAAAAGTGTGTTCCCCCTTTTCTCTCATATAGTTGGAGTGTCTTTTTAAATTGATCTTTGGTATAATGCATATACTGTATGTATCATCTAAAAACAAAGGGTTTTATCCTATTAAGTCACACTTGGAGTAAACTTTTGAAACACATGGATTTTAATAATTTAAGCCCATTAATATCAACTCATGACTTAAGTGGGTACAACCCAAAGAAAGTAAGTTGCTTCAGAACAGGGTTGTTACCTATATGGAATTAATAGATCAGATGATTACTTGACTATACCGTCTATGGCTAATCATCTCAGATTTCTTTAATCGGGTGACATATCTGTTAGGAATCTTTACAAATAAAAAGCTGTGATTGAAATAAATGTTCTTGCAAAGATGCCCAGTTGCGTCTTGACTGACTCAACAGAGTTAACAAACACTAGCATAACTCATTCCTTAAATTGATATTAATGCAATTGAGCAGCAAACATAATCCTAATATGAATATAGGTACATGAGTGTAGGAATTGCTAGACAACATTGGTAAAACCTTATGGCAATTATTTCTAGCAATTACGTGTATTCTATCTTTCAGAAATGTTATTTGTCATTTCTAGTACTAACTGCTTTCTAGATAAGCTGTATATATATACAGTGGAACCTTATTCCCGAATGCCTCCATTGTCGTACGTTTCGGTTCTCAAACGCCGAAAACCCGGAAGTAAATGCTTCCGTTTTCAAAGGTTTTTTTGAACCTGAACGTGCGACGCGGTTTGCGCTGAGGGCAAGAAGCTCTTGCAACCAATGGGAAGTCGCGCCTCGGTTTTCGAACGTTTCAGAAGCTGAACGGGCTTCCAGAATGGATTTCGTTTGAGAACCTAGGTTCCACTGTATCTCTATTTGTGTGTGAATATGCTTTTTTGAGCTTAACTGAGACAGTCACAGACATTACAGCTGTTTTGGAAATAGCAATAAAAAACCTACATATTTGTCATTTTTGATGTCCAGGCTATATTGCAATGTTTTAATAGAACTTTAATAGAACAGCCTCAGTGCAGTTAACATTTATGTGTGGACATGTACCTTAAGCTCTTTTTTATTATTTATTGTGACTATTTTGCAGTGCATATACTGGAACCTGGAGATCATCCTTTATTGCAGCAGCCTCTTCAGACATCAAAATCCGGCATTCAGCAAATTATTGAATGTTTTCGATCAGGTATGAGTAGGTTCTTTTTTATATATTATTTTGCCTTGAAGGTTTGGAATGCTTCAATGGTGACATAAATAACATCTAATGAACAATCTAAAATCATTATTTCACATTTTAAGAAAAATGGCGCTCTTGGATTTTCATGGATTTGATTTTGGGTTGTATCCAACATTAGTCATATTCACAGTAGAACCACTGGGTTGTAACCAGTAAAATAATTGCACATGAAAGCCTACTTCCGCAGGCAACATGGAACCTCTTCTCTCCCTCCTCCACCTCCAAAATCTGCTCTGGGGGTTTCCCCCAACTCTCTGGAGCAGATTTAGGGGTGAGGGTGGAAGGAGAAAGAAGTAAAGTTCTCTTGTGCCCATGCAAGTTAGTTCATGTTCACACTGATATCCTTGGATACAACCCACTGAAATTACAGTGGTACCTTGGGTTACATACGCTTCAGGTTACATGTGCTTCAGGTTACAGACTCCGCTAACCCAGAAATAGTGCTTCAGGTTAAGAACTTTGCTTCAGGATAAGAACAGAAATCATGCTCCGGCGGCACCGCAGCAGCAGGAGGCCCCATTAGCTAAAGTGGTGCTTCAGGTTAAGAACAGTTGCAGGTTAAGAACGGACCTATGGAACGAATTAAGTACTTAACCCGAGGTACCACTGTAATGCACATGACTAACTTCAGTCCATTAATTTCAGCTGGATGTTACCCAATGTTTTAAGAATTTCTTGTTTTAATTATTGTATTGATATTTGATTGTAAGTATACCACCCTGGGTTCCTATTTTAAGATGGGTACAGTGGTACCTCAGGTTACATATGCTTCAGGTTACATACGCTTCAGGTTACAGACTCCGCTAACCCAGAAATAGTGCTTCAGGTTAAGAACTTTGCTTCAGGATGAGAACAGAAATCATGCAGTGGTGGCGCAGCGGCAGCAGGAGGCCCCATTAGCTAAAGTGGTGCTTCAGGTTAAGAACAGTTTCAGGTTAAGTACGGACCTCCGGAACGAATTAAGTACTTAACCCGAGGTACCACTGTACTTGGAGAATTTCTGAATGAATAAATAGGTCTAACCAAGATTCACCGACTCTACTATTCTGTTACCAACAGTAAGTAGTCAGTCAGATGCTTCTGGTACTCCCTGGCCTCCCTTCCGCGGCTTGTGATTGGCTGTAGGAGCTTCCTGCAACCAATCAGAATCCGCACTTTGGTTTCTGAACGTTTTGTAAATCGAACGGACTTCGTTCGACTTCCAAGGTACGACTTTACTGTATACATTGTAGCTGAGACTGTAGCATTTCAAATTTTGAAAACCCCTTTGGGAAAATGTTCACCACAAATTATGTATTTACAATAGCAGTGCAGTTCTGAGATATGCAGTAAAGTTGTTTTTTTATCATGGCTTTTGCTGGCAACGAGTGACAGCAATCAAAATGATGTTTGATTGTTTATTTTACTGTATAATAACTATGTATGATATGGTTATTGACTGCCTTGAGATGCCCATATAAGAAGCATATAAATATTTTAATAAAATATAAATAAATAAATTTAGGTACAGAAAACTGGTAACTGTAAATCTACTCTAACGTTAATCTTGCCACTCCATTTGTAAAATCATCTAAATTAGTAGCTTTTGCCATATCTTTTAGTAAATTGCAGATGCTTATTTTGTGTTGTAGGGAAGAAGCATTTCTTTTCCCTGTCTGCAGAAATTTGGAATTTTTCCTTTGTGACCTTAGAAATTTCGGGCTTAGGTTGAATGTTCAGGGAAGTTTTTAATGTATGACATTTTAATGTATTTTTAATCTTTGTTAAGTCAGGGACGCGGGTGGCGCTGTGGGTAAAACCTCAATGCCTAGGACTTGCCGATCGTATGGTCGGCGGTTCGAATCCCCGCGGCGGGGTGAGCTCCTGTCTTTCGGTCCCAGCTCCTGCCCACCTAGCAGTTTGAAAGCACACTTAAGTGCAAGTAGATAAATAGGTACCGCTTTATAGCGGGAAGGTAAACGGCGTTTCTGTGTGCTGCGCTGGTGCTGGCTCGCCAGAGCAGCTTCGTCACGCTGGCCACGTGACCCGGAAGTGTCTCCGGACAGCGCTGGCTCCCGGCCTCTTAAGTGAGATGAGCGCACAACCCTAGAGTCAGACACGACTGGCCCGTACGGGCAGGGGTACCTTTACCTTTACCTAATCTTTGTTAAAGATTAAAATGATGATGATGATGTCTGATGTGGTCTTGTTGCTTTCTGAAAAAAGGAGTAAGGATTGTCGTTGGCGTTGTCAAGCAGGATTGTAGTATATTGTTTCTATTTGGATTGTCTTTTCTAGTTAGGATAGCGATTGAATGGATATGTGTGTGTTGCTAACTATAGTCATTTATGGGAGTGGGTGGCGCTGTGGTCTAAACCACTGGGTCTCTTGGGCTTGCAGATCAGAAGGTCGGTGGTTCTTATCCACGCGACGGGGTGAGCTCCCATTGCTCTGTCTCAGCTCGAAAGCACGCCAGTGCAAATAGATAAATAGGTATTGCTGTGGTGGGAAGCTAAACGTCATTTCCATACACTCTGGTTTCTGTCACGGTGTTCTGTTGCACCAGAAGTGGTTTAGTCACACTGGCCACATGACCTGGAAAGCTGTCTGTGGACAAATTATGGCTCCCTCGGCCTGAAAGCGAGATGAGCACCGCAACCCCATAGTTGCCTTTGACTGGACTTAACCATCCAGGGGTCCTTTACCTTTACCTAGTCATTTAAGGTGTTTATTGTTTATTGTTTTATGCTACTTGTATTTCTACCTTTTAGCATTTTAATTGTTAGCAGTTTTTATCTTTGCTGTTTTATTGTTTTATACTAATTCCTTTCATATGTAAACATAAGTGATAATTTAGTTGCAAGGCAGTGTAGAAATACCCAGAATAAAATAATAATACTGTGTTCAAAATGGTTGGTAAGACAGTACTGGACTTCTATAAGTTTCTATCCAGCCCCTGCTTCCTTCCAATTAGAATAATTATACTCTACTGTGGAATGGGTCAGGTAATGGCAAGGTAATGAAAGCTATAAAGAAGATGCAGCAATCTATCTATCATCTATCATCTATCTATCTAATCATCATCATCATCTAAGTTCAAACATCACTCATGTGCTAAGCATGGGTCGAGCTTCCTAACAATCAGGAAAACAGTGATTTAGAACTGTTTTTTCTTTTCATTTTCAGTCTATTAAAAACTTCTGAATTTAGCTGTATCTGGGTTCCAGAAGAGGAGCAGCAAACCATGTTTAGTATCTTAATTCAGGCATTAAGCCAAGCTGTGTTTTCTCAGACATGTTTCCTGGCTACTTAGAATCAATTTAGATAACGTAAAACAAGAACAACACAGTTAAACTTTACAGAACATACTTTGGAATGATATCTGAAATAAACCTTAGAAAAAGGAAATACTAGTAGAGAAAAATGAAAAAAGTAAAGTAACAGGCGATTCCATGGAAATACCCACCCATTTTTCATTTTCATATATAGTTTACATGTTGTATATCATTTTAAAGATAATTTTCCGTAGTTTCATGATCTGGCAACAGTTTTTCAAAATGGCAGTGGACATGTGACAACCAGAAGCATGACATGCAAGATGACACAGAATTCCTTGTAAATCTAATTTAAATGGCAAGTCAGCTCCATGGTCTGACATTTCTATGTTCTCGAGTGTTTACTTAGTGCACTAGCACTGTCAAATAGCAGCAGCAATAATTTATGGGACTACAAATGGCTTTTTTGCTCAGGTGTTTGACATAAGAGAAATAGAAGTGCTTTGAAAAGGAACTCTGAAACTTTTATATAAAAGGGATGCAGTGTGGACCCAAGTTTGTCTTTAGCTTTTAGGATATTTTACCAGGTCACACCTGATCAATCTGGATACCTGATCGTGTGCTAGGCAAATAAACTTTTGAAAATGGAAATAATGTTCCATATACCAAGCATGTTGTTGGGTGATCCCTTCAAACACCGAAATAACAGTTTTGCACAGAATTGCAGCCTCATTCTATTGCCCATTTAGTACCATTTTAACTATTATATTTGCTTGTGAAAATAGTATAAGTATTGTACAGTTGTACTATTGTATGATCCTTGCTTTTGAAACCATAGTTTTTATCAGTATACTAGGTAAAATAGGCTAATCTGAAAACAAGCTGCTTAATCTTTTTGTTTTGTTTTTACTTCCTCATTAATGTCTTACTAAGGCTTTCTGAGAAGTGGCATTAAAATTAATTCAATAGATGTTTTAATGTTAAATAAATTTGTGTTTTGGGGGAATGGACTTTGATTTTATATAATTTATATCTGAAAGAAATAACGCTAGTGAAAAATATACAATTTTGCAGTATTGGAGTAATAAAGGTAAAGGGCCCATGGATTTAACCAGTCAAAGGCAAAGGCAAACTGGGGTTGCAGCGCTCATCTTGCTTTCAGGCCGAGGCAGCTGGCGTCTGTCCATAGACAGCTTTCTGGGTCATGTGGCCAGTGGGACTAAACCACTTCAGGCACAACGGAACACCGTGACGGAAACCAGAGTGCATGGAAATGCCATTTACCTTCCTGCCGCAGTGGTACCAATTTATCTACTTGTACTGGTGTGCTTTAGAAGTGCTAGGTTGACAGGAGCTGGGACTGAGCAACAGGAGTAATAGGAATAATAGGCTGTTAGTAGCATCAGTTGGATCTCTACACTGATATTGTTTCATGTTGAGAGAGGCATACCCACATTCACACTTTTAAACAGAACTTTACAGCATCTTGAAGTCCAGATTTGGTTTAAAAAAAGAGAGAGAGAAATATAGATAAGAATACATCATAGAAAGTATCATTCATTATTCAGTAACTAGATGTTGAAGGGTTTGAAATAAATTACTCAAGATTACCGGTAGTTTGTGTTCAAGGGTCTAACTGATTTCCGTCTGGCTTTGGCCTGTTTTTGAGTCACTCGGTTGGATGATTTATGCTGGGATATTGTTAGGAATCATCTAATTCTTTTCTGATGGGCCTCTAAACAGCTTTAAATACCATCAACAATGGGCTGTCTCTCTGGACCAGGACATTCCAGAGGTTTGGACCCAGAAGGTGGTGTTTGACGATTTCCGTTCCATCTTATAGTTTTGTCTTTCAGGTTCCCATGCTATTTAACATTCAGTTGACGCTGCTGAAAGAAGTCATTTGAGGAGGTTTGGATCAAAGTGTTGTCCCATAGTTCTGTCCCTTTATTCTACCTGCTCTGGTCAAAATGCCCCAGTAGAACTGACTTGGGTTGGATAGCACGGTCGCTGAAAGAACCAAGTTAGGGGATTTTCCTGAACTTGGTGCTAGTTATATTGAGTCTGGTGGCTATGAGTGACTTTTAGTAGGGCCAAAGCTGGTGAACCGGTCCAAGCTATCTAATCTAAATAAAGCAAATCTCCCGTTAAATGTGCTCTCTTTACATCCAGACCATATTCTTATAGTGCACTCTACAGCTGCCTTTATAGATTATTTGGAAACTTCAACTGCTTCAGAATGCAAGCACTAGTTTGCTTACGTGAGCCATTGTTTAGGGCACACCACATGCTGTATCAGGATGGATTTGATTTAAATCAAATCAATTTAAATCAATTTAAATCACGATTTAAATCACTAGTCAGTAAGACTTGATTTAAATCATTTTTTTACAGAAAGGCTCATTCTTGCCAGTATAATTTTAATATTTACAATCAGATGACGTTTTTATTTCTGGAATAATAAATTTTCAGAGTAGTTTTTACAGTTATATCAAAAATTAATGATTTGGTTATACTATTAGAAATGCATAGACAGATAATTATGAAATTATTGTGAGGTTTAGTAAGTTGACTGTTTATATTTGGAAAACTTTTCTGCTGTACTTTATTGGAAGGAGAAAAACAATCATTTCCTTAATAACAATTTAACTAAAGCAATAACATTATAGCATATGTATCCATGTTGGTTAAACATTTTTTTTATTTAAAAAAAACTTAGACTGAGTTTTAGCACACATGAAATACTCAAAACAAATCCTTATTTCCTGCTGAACAGACTTTGGAATATAATGTAACTTAAATAGAAAACTATCTTTAGAAAGATTTTTCCTCCAAAAGCATTTTATTTTTAAAATCCAATTTAAATAAAAAAAAATCTGATTTAAATCAAAAAAATCTGATTTTTTTAAATAAAAAAAATCATTGAGTTTTATCCACCCTGGGCTGTACCATTGGTATTCAGGCTCAGTTTAAAGTACTCATGTTGACCTTTAAAGTCCTAAACAGGCTGTTTCAGGGACCACTTGTACCCATACTAAACTGCCCTGGCCTTAAGATTGGCCCCTGAGATCACAAGGAACCAGTTTTAATTCTGGAGTCAACTAAAAGTATAAAAGACTATTAGCATAAATACCTGGCAAGGCATGCACTTTGTGCTGCGCAAAACTGATCGTTCTGCAGCCCCTTCACAATCCACCTGTAGGGACTCCCCCCCCCCCCCCGGCCAAGTTTGTCAGTGACTACTAACCAGCTGCTGGCAACCAGTCATTTCTGAGCACAATTCAGAGTGTTGGTGCTGACCTTTAAAGCTCGAAACGGTCTTGGCCCAGTATACCTGAAGGAGTGTCTCCACCCCCATCGTTCAGCCCAGACACTGAGACCCCATCGTTCAGCCCAGACGCCGAGGGCCTTCTGGCGGTTCCCTCCCTGTGAGAAGTGAGGTTACAGGGAACCAGGCAGAGGGCCTTTTTGGTAGTGGTGCCCACCCTGTGGAACACCCTCCCATCAGAAATAAACAACTATATGACTTTTAGAAGACATCTGAAGGCAGACCTGTTTAGGGAAGTTTTTAATGTTTAATGCTATACAGTAGTACCTCGGGTTAAGAACTTACTGTATTTTTCGCTCCATAAGATGCACCAGACCACAAGACGCACCTAGTTTTTGGAGGAGGAAAACAAGAAAAAAAATACTCTGAATCTCAGAAGCCAGAACAGCAAGAGGGATCGCTGCGCAGTGAAAGCAGCAATCCCTCTTGCTGTTCTGGCTTCTGTGATAGTTGCGCAGACTGCATTCGCTTCGTAAGATGCACACACATTTCCCCTTACTTTTTAGGAGGGAAAAAGTGAGTCTTATAGAGCAAAAAATACGGTAATTCATTCCGGAGGTCCGTTCTTAACCTGAAATTGTTCTTAACCTGAGACACCACTTTAGTTAATGGGGCCTCCTACTTCTGCTGCGCCACCGCCACACGATTTCTGTTCTCATCCTGAAGCAAAGTTCTTAACCCGAGGTACTATTTCTGGGTTAGTGGAGTCTGTAACCTGAAGCGTGTGTAATCCAAGGTACCACTGTATTGCGTTTTTAATATTCAGTTGGGAGCCGCCCAGAGTGGCTGGGGAAACCCAGCAAGATGGGCGGTGTATAAATAAATAAATTATTTAAATTATTATTATTATTGACCACCATCAAGCCCTCTAGCGGCCCAAGGGGCCAAAAACTAAGTACTTAAGGGTTGCTACCCTGTACACACTTACATGCGAGTAAGTCTCATGGAACTCAGTGGGGTAAGTATGGGTAGGTATGTGTAACATTCAACCATTAGTCTTACTTATGTCTGTGGGAAAGATGTTGGCGTTTGATTAATTTCCCCATAAACATAATTGAACATTTAAAGTACTTACCTTCACCTGGATCATGCCTCGAATGCACCTAGTAGTAACTTTTTTTATATTTCTTTTTATATGTTTCAGGAACTAAGCAACTTAAACATATTTTGCTGAAAGATGTGGACACCATCTTCGAATGTAAATTATGCCGCAGCCTCTTCAGAGGACTACCGAATTTAATAACCCACAAGAAGTTCTACTGTCCTCCAAGTCTCCGGATGGATGACAGTAAGTTTTGTTCTCTCAAGTCTCTTGTTCAACATACAGTTGTACCTTGGAAGTCGAACGGATTCTGTTCCGGAAGTCCATTTGACTTCCAAAACTTTCGGAAACCTGTTGGGTTGAAAATCACGACAGACAAGTGCGGCTTCTGATTGGCTGTAGGAAGCTCCTGCAGCCAATCGGAAGCCACAGAAGTCTGATAACCCACAAACATAGCAAGAGCTCTGCTGGATCAGGCTAAAGGCCAGTCTTATCCAGCACTCTGTTCTCCCAGTGGCGAACCAGATGCCTTTGGGAAACATGCAAGCAGGAGATGAGAAGCAAGCAACAGAGGATGAGGAGAGGATGCTTAACCTTTTCCACATATCTAAATTCCTTGTCTAAATTGCTACCTGAGTGCTTTTATCCTGGCAGAGGGGGAAACAGAAGTACAGTGGTACCTTGGGTTACAGACGCTTCAGATTACAGGTGCTTCAGGTTATAGACTCTGCTAACCCAGAAGTAGTGCCTCGGGTTAAGAACTTTACCTCAGGATGAGAACAGAAATTGCGCAGCGGTGGCACAGTGACAGCGGGAGGCCCCATTAGCTAAAGTGGTACCTCAGGTTGAGAACAGTTTCAGCTTAAGAACAGACCTCCGGAATACCTCTTAACCCGAGGTACCACTGTATCACTGTACTGTATACAACACTTAATGTCTCACATCATATGTAACTAATCCACAACCTGAAAAAGAGACAATGCATGTTGTAAACCAATAAAATCTATAATAAAAGAGTGACACCTGTGAAATAATATAATGTAAACATTGTGGGGTTTTTTGTTTTTTGTTTTTAATCTACAGACTCTCCTGATGTAAATGATAAGCAGAGCCAAGCCATAAGTGATCTCCTGGAAGCTATGTATCCTAGAGTGGACAAGCAAGACTATATAATCCGTTTGGAACCTATAGAGACAAACCGGAATGCTGTCTTTCAATATGTTTCAAAGGCGGATAGCACAGTTGAGAACATTGAGATGAATGTCACCACAGAACCAGCTCCTGTAGCAGAAACGCCAGAACCTACCGCAGAACCTCCTAAAGCGGTTCCTAGTCCCTCACAGGAAGAAACGGCAGAGATTCCTGTGGTTGCTGCTGCTAGCAAGGTAATATTGACTCCAGAAGAACCGTCTCTGTCCTCGAAGCCTCAGCTGCAATGCGATAAACCAGATTTGGGTCACCAGTTAATTTGCTGCCTCTGTAAAAAAGAATTTCATTCCAGACGCAGTGTACGCCGGCATATTAGAAAAGTACACAAGAAGAAGATGGAAGAACTGAAGAAATTTATTGAAATTAAAAGGCGGCCAAATCAGACATCTGGAAGGGGGCGCAATAAGAACATTCTTGTAACACTGGGTAGGAGCTGTCCTGTCTGCTATAAATCCTTTGCTACAAAAGCCAATGTAAGGAGGCATTTTGATGAAGTTCACAGGGGACTGAGGAGGGATTCCATCACTCCTGACATAGCTACAAAGCCTGGGGAACCTTTGTCCTTGGAATCGGCTAAAAAATCTGTTAAGACCCGAAAACAAAAGTCCCTTAAGGCTGAATACAACTTAACCACCTGCAAATGCCTCTTGTGCAAGAGGAAATACAGTTCGCAGGTAATGCTCAAAAGGCATATGCAAATTGTTCACAAGATCACCCTTTCAGCAAAAAATGCTAAAAGAGAGAAGAAGCCCAATAACGCAGTTAGCACAGAAGTGAAAGAGAAAACGGAACCAGCAGAATCTTCGGAATCAGTGCCTCCCATCATCAGCTCCCCGCAGAATGAAACAAAGGGAACAAATCATTCGAATGAAAGGAAGAATGCATCTTCATCGACTGAGAAAAAGAATGCCTCATCATCCGCCGAACGAAAGAATGCATCGTCCACTGAACGAAGGAATGCATCAGCTGCTGAACGGAAGAATGCATCGTCCGCTGAACGGAAGAATGCATCGTCCGCTGAACGAAAGAATGCATCATCTGCTGAACGAAAGAATGCATCGTCCGCTGAACGGAAGAATGCATCGTCCGCTGAACGAAAGAATGCATCGTCCGCTGAACGAAAGAATGCATCGTCCGCTGAACGAAAGAATGCATCGTCCGCTGAACGAAAGAATGCATCGTCCACTGAACGAAAGAATGCATCGTCCGCTGAACGAAAGAATGCATTGTCCGCTGAACGAAAGAATGCATCTTCTTCCACTGAAAGGAAGAACGCACCGCCCACAAAGAAAAACAAAGTTAAGCCGAGCTCTGAAAATTCTAAGTCAAGTAATCAGTCCATTGCAAGTGGTCTCCGAAAGCCCAGGAAGCCCAGACTTTCCGTTGGCTTTGACTTCAAAAAGCTTTACTGCAAACTCTGCAAACGCCAATTTACGTCCAAGCAAAATCTAACGAAGCACATCGAGTTGCACACGGACGGAAATAACATTTTTGTGAAATTCTACCGGTGCCCGCTCTGCCCTTACGAAACCCGCCGGAAGCGCGACGTGATCAGACATATAACCGTCGTGCACAAAAAGTCTTCGCGCTACCTTGGCAAGATAACGGCAAGCTTGGAAATCAGAGCAGTGAAAAAACCCATTGACTGCGTTTTAAACAAGGTGACGAGAAGAGGCGCTCCGAGGGATGAAGGTAAGCAAAATGGTGCAAAGCCGGACGTCACCGCTAACTCACCCAGCAAGAAGTACGAAGGGGCTGATGTGGGCATTGAAGTGAAAGTCACAAAGAATTTCTCTCTGCACAGATGCAATAAATGCGGGAAAGCGTTTGCCAAAAAGACTTTCCTAGAACATCACAAGAAGACTCATAAGGCAAACGCATCCCATTCGCCCGAAGAAAACAATACAACCAAAGGCAGAAGCACGAGATCTAAAGCTCTTGTCTGCTGAGGAACAACTAGTGCCTTGCAAAACGTTTGCCTGAATTTTCCACTGGTGTTTCTAGCTCAGACTCTGACGCTGTAGAACATAAAAAGAATATTGCATTTATTCTTTTCAGCCACGTATTTATAGGATTCAAGATGAATTTGTCTTTGTTCAAGAAAGTGAACCTAGCACAGTTGTACATGGTCGGTTCCTGAAAGTTTAATAATATTCTGTAACAAGTTGTTTGGGGCATAATGTTTAGCGGTAGGGACCGTAGTTCCAAAGGTTTTTTTTAAATTAACTTTGCACTTCGTTGGTACTGACCAGGTAGAGGAAAGCCTTTGATGGGCTTGAAGTAGCCTGTTAGTGCTGTGTTTCCCTGTGGTTTTAGTCTGTTAGCAAATATTTCTGGCATATAGAGTTTTTGCATAAATGCTAGCATACTTAAGATGAGCATAAAATTAGGGTATATAGCTCTATATAGCTCTATAGTTTAGAGTCAACACTTTTGCGTTAAAATTCCGTTTCTCTGTTTGACACAAGATGTCCATTCCTCTTAGAGAAACTAAAATCTCAGTTTTTTTCCTGAGCTAGAATTTTGGTACCTGGACCTTTATAGGCATTTTAACCATAACGTTTGTTTCCACATACCCTGTTTTGACACCTGCGGGTGGGGATATTGGATATTCTACAGTTCAGTGGCAATTTTACATGACATACAAAACAACAGTCTTAACTAGCTTCAGTTGAAATGTTGTTGGGCAACCAGCCATCAAGGAGAGAATAGTTTTGTGGTTTTTTTTTAATTACTACTTTATACAAAAGATTATTAATCTCTAACAGATGTTTATTAAGAGTATATCTATGTTGATAATTCAGATCCAAAGTTCCCATTAGGTGAAGGTATCTTTCCAGAGTTAAACCACTTGTGGATTCTGGTTTTAATGTGAAAAGGTTATATGTAGACAAGCTTCCAGATATTTGGGAGCCACCCTCAGGTTGCTGGGGGGACGTTGGTGGGTTTTTTCGTTTTGTCTTTTAAAGGCTAAATAATAAAGATATGGGTTATTCTTACCAAAACCACAGTCAGCTTATTGGACACAGAAAGTGCTTCTGGCTTTTGTGTGGAAAATGTTCATGCTGCCTACAAGTAAAGCCCCCTTTTTTAAGTTGGCTAAATATTATATTGATATATGTATTTCTCCTTAACATGAGATGATGTGTGGTAAAATTTGGAATTAGAACCACTAATATCTTGAAATAGTTCTATGAGAGGAAATATTTTTATAAGCTATTTTCTTAGTAAATGTATTGATTGTTCCTAAAAGGTAACGTCTTGTCTGAGTTTTTCAAGAGCGATTAAACTCCATTAAAAATAGCCCTTTGAATTAATAGCCAGCTTTCTTATTTCATGTGTGCAGTAGTGCTGGTAACAGAAAAATGAACATTTTAAAAGGGAAATTTTGCAAACCATTTTTGAAGACCCATTCTTTTTAAGGACGTTATCAACTTGGAGCATGCGTTCCAGACTTGGCCCTTACTTAATTCTAATTTTGCTGAACGGATTTTACGTCCATTGTGATATACTACTAAGCAAACACTTGTTGTGTGATGTACTTTAAAAATATTTTTTTACAGATGAATGTATATGAGCAGTTTCTTAGCGTAATTTGAATGAATTGCAATTTGAATCGTAATATTTTTTAGCATTGGCGCTAATTTCAATTCATGGTTCAATACTTTTTTGGGAGTATTAAGTTTGACTGTACTGAACTTGCTGCAAAAAAAAAAATGTATAGTAATTTTGCATGGTTAGCATATTGGTCAGTCTTTCATATGGAAGTTTACAAGTGACCCACATTCCCCTATTTTAATTGTTGTGTTTTTTTTAAAAAAAAGATTATACACAAGCACTTTAATAGATGCAGTTTAAAATTTTAGTTATTTTTTAAAACACAGTACACTAATGTTCATGTGAAGATAGTAGATGGGTTTTGTAGACAATTCATATACAACCGTAGTTCCTTAAATATTGTTTAAACGGAAGATAGTGGAAGGACTTTTTTTCTTTCTTTCTTTTTGCCCACAAGATGTTGAATGACCACTGTAGATGGCACTTGACTTTCACTGTAAAGTTTATGAAATTCTTGCTTCCTATCTTATTTTATAATCGATTCTATAGCAAAACATTAGTATACCTACCATTATGAAATTTTTGGCAGGTTTCTGCGCTTTCTTAATTTTTAGAAAATGTTTAGTGATTTGTGTCAAATTGCCACAGTTTAAAAGATGATGGGTTAGATCCAGAAGACTTGTGAACAGGATCCCGCTCACAGGATCCTCCTATTGGAGGAAGGCGGATGAAGCTATTTTCACTGATTCCTCCTCCTCCCTCCTCCAGAGCAGTGTGAGGTGTGGCATGGAGGGCTAGAGAGGAAAGAGGAAGTGGCAAAAACCACCTCGCTTCACCTTCCTCCCGTGGGAGCTTCTGCTGATTCTTGGTCCCTTCTGTTCACGGAAGGGACTCTCTCTGGATCCAACCCGATGTACAAATGAAGAAATGCCATTTTTAAAATATTGGTCGACTCCCTTGCTTAGGGAATGCCTTGTGTCCATATATACTTTTTTGTATAAAATATATCTAAAAATGTTGATCATAAATAAAAAAAATATTCTTTTATGGATAGGTAAGTGTTTGGCCTTTTAGTGCTTTGCACTAAAAAAACAAAACTGTGAATGGAAAATAGACTGTAACTGTTGCTGGAAATGTTTTATGTTTGAATACACTTGCTTCTTGGAGAAATGTACTTTATTTGGAAATAAAGCAGACTGGAAGTTATTTGAGGTAAATGTACTCGAATGTTTGTACTTGATTTTATTAGTTGAATTTGTGCGTGTTTACAACTCCGAGAATAATATGGGTTATGTTAGCCTTTATCTCAGTGCCCAGGTACTCTTGGGGCTAGGGACGCAGGTGGCGCTGTGGTCTAAACCACTGAGCCTCTTGGGCTTGCTGATCGGAAGGTTGGTGGTTCAAATCCCCAAAACAGAGTGAGCTCCCGTTGCTCTGTCCCAGCTCCTGCCAACCTAGCAGTTCAAAAGCGTACCAGTGCAAGTAGATAAATAGGTACTGCTGCAGCGGGAAGGTAAACAGTGTTTCCGTGCGTTCTGGTTTCCGTCACAGTGTCCCGTTGCGCCAGAAGCGGTTTAGTCATGTTGGCCACTTGACCCGGAAAGCTGTCTGTGGACAAACGCCGGCTCCCTTGGCCTGAAAGCGAGATGAGCGCTGCAACCCCATAGTCTCCTTTGACTGGACTTAACCGTCCAGGGGTCCTTTACCTTTTACCTTTTTACTCTTGGGTCTGATGGGGAGACAATAAGAGAGCAGAAGGTTAGGGATGGTTGGAGAAGGAGGGGGCGGACTGGATTGCCTGACCGCGCAAGGGAAACGGTCAAAACGGTGTGGTTTTTAGCTTTGATTTGAATAGTTGAGCGAACAGAACTGATTTTTTTGAGCCAAGTAAGTGGTGCTTCTACCTGTAACCTTCAGTAGAAAGCATCCTTCATTGCGGCTTACCACACTCAGTTCGGTACGTTGCTACATCCAGAAAACTCACCTTGACCAGCTCAGTTCAGTGGTGGGTTCCTGGGTCAAACTTACCTTCTCTAAGATACAGCCAAACTCCCATCAACCTAGTCAGTGATTATTTAATGACCCCCATGGCCATTTGCTCTTTCACATTCACTGCTTCTTGAACTTCACCCAATCAGAAAAGTTAATGCACGGGTGATCACTGACTTCTCTCGAGGAAACTGCAAGAGAACCTAGACAACCACTTGCATAATGATTACAGGTAAGCAACTTGTTTTTAGCTGGAATGGGCCATGTGTAAAGAGAGCCTTATGGTCCCACCATCTGAGTGCTGATACAGTGATATTTGTGTGTGTGTTCACTCTGATGAAAGCCATATAAGCTAGTTTTCTGACCTCAAATGATTGGGCAATCCAGGCCATTGCAGAATGGCAAGTTTTAAAAACAGTTTTCAAGTCTGTTAACTGACTTCTGTAAGCTGCTACTAAATTTCCTCCAGAACGCTTAATCAAGTGTTGACAGAAAGAAATGTTGGGGAAATAAATACATATAAACAGTGCTTTTTTTTACTTTAAAAATGTTTAAGGGTACGCTCAATTTCCTTTAGGGGTATGCGTCTCACACACACCCGCGAAAAAAAGCACTGCATGTAAATACACTAAGAAAATTACAGGTCACATTGCAAGTTTTTCAGAGCTATCTATGTTGGTGCAATTTAGAATTCCTGGATCTCAAGAGCCAAGTCTGGGACAAGTATTCTTTGATGAGAAGACCCAGCAGAGATTAAAAATCACAATACATGGAGCAAAGTAAAGCATGGAAATGTCTGCTGTTAGACCTTTAAAATATGCCATTTCAGGTGAGTTCAAAAGCTTCCTTCTTCACTAGCATAGAAAAAAGACCACGTTTGGTAAGCTAAAAATGGTTTACTTAGAAACTCTCCAAAGGTCAGATTCATGTGCTTTTCCATACAGTGTTCAGAAAAAGTTGCACAGGCAGTAAAACTTACAGTAAAACTGCACAGGCAGTTTACTTACAAAGTAGTGAAAGTTCCTAAATTATTGGTATAGGAACTCAAGGGTGGCTTGCGGTCTCAGGTGGAGCAACCAGCTCAAGCCTCTTCACACATTGAAATTGAGGGGGAACAATAGGATAGATTACCTATTCCCCCCTCCAAGGTAAGGGAAGTGGACATAGCTAAGTCTGGCAGGATAGCTTACTCTATGGTTTTAACCCTTTCATGCATTAATTAGACTTAAGCATGTTGGTTATACAGTATGAGGCTCTTTATCCCACAGTCTATAAACACCATTATTTTGGAGTGGCTGAAGCACCCAACAAACAAACTATAATTGCTTTGCTCTCCCTCCACCCAATCTCTAGGGTGTGTAGATTTCCAAAGACAGAATCATAGCATTGGAAGGAACACAAG